GTGGGGCTGGACTGGGGGTGTTGGGCTAGGCAGGGGTGTGGGGCTGGACTGGGGGTGTGGGGCTCGGACTGGGGGTGTGGGGCTGGACTGGGGGTGTAGGGCTAGGTGGGGTGTGGGGCTGGACTGGGGCATGCTGGGATGGACTGGAGGTGTGGGGCTAGGTGGGGATGTGGGGCTAGGTGAGGTGTGGGGCTGGACTGGGGCTGGGCTGCTGGTGCGGAGCGAGCTGTGGGATGCTGCGTGACTGTATCCTGCCCCCAGTGCCGGTAGCAGGGGGTGGGGGGGTGGGCCCTCAATGTGTTAGTACCTGGGACACACACACACACACACACCCCGGTCCCACTGGCTTGTTTGGCTTCTGGTTGCGTGTAATGAAAGTGCCCCGACGCCCGCCCCATTATGGCCGCTTTTGTGTCTCCCCCCAGGGTCACTTTCTCCAGCTCCCTCCCACGCTCCCCCCTCCTGCCCCACGAAGCCGCCCGCTCTGCAGGCCCCAGCCTGGCTGGGCCCGTGACGCTGATTTCCACCAGCGGGGGATCTGGCCCCTCTGACGCCAATGGAGTGCAGGGACCCCGGACTCCTGGGCTGGGTGCTCAGTTCAGCCATTGCGTGACCATGGCAAGTCACTGACCCCCTCGTGCCTCAGTTTCCCCATCGGTAAAATAATTCTGACCCATCTCCCAGGGCTCATTAATGGAGCCCGTTTGGGGAGCTGCTCTGGAAGTGCCAAGTGGCCTTCTCACAAGACGTTAGCCAGTATTTATTACACCCTGGGGACCCCCGTTGCGCCGGGAGCTGAGCCGGTGCTACCATTAAGGCGAACTAGGCGGTTGCCTAGGGCGCCAAGATTTGGGGGCACCAAAAAGCAGCGTTCCTCCCCGAGCGCACGGTCGCTGCTCCACTTCTTCCACCTCCCAGGCTTGCAGCGCCAATCCTGGGAGGAGAATTAGAGCAGGGCAGCGTGCTCGGGGAGGAGGCAGAGCAGAGGTGAGCGTGGGGGGGGGGGAGCTGCCACGGGGGGAGCGCCTCAGGGCGGGGGGGGCGGGGAGCTGCCGCACGGCTGGGGGGTGGGCGCAAGGTGGAAGTTTCGCCTAGGGTGCGAAACTTCCTTGCACTGGCCCTGGCTGGGCCCACAATCCTTGCCCCGAAAAGCCGACAATCTAAACGGACGAGGGATGGATGAGAAAACAGGCAAAATGACAAGAGCCAGGAATAGAACCCAGGCGTCCTGAGGAGCAGCCCAACGCCCCTAGATCCTGCTGGTTCCTCAATAGCTCAGGGCCCAGCTGCACGGATCCGTACACCGCTGCTCACTGCCAGCATATCGGCCCCAGGGCCGCCGTGCGTCCATCATCTCCTCTCACCTTTCCCCCACCGTGACAGCTGAATGTCGACGCCCAGCGCCCCCTCGCCCCACGGCTGCTGGCATCTCAAACTTCCAGCAGATGCCGCTTATCATCCTGGAGGTCAGAGACGTCGGCCGCTAATGATCTTTTGCACCACGTGCCAGTCAGAGCTGGCAGCCGCCGCTGGCTGGCCACGCCGGGTAATAACGCCGGACGCCGCAGTCCCGGGAATTGTGGAGGAGACTCGGGGACAGGCCTTCGTCTCGCCATCTGCTGCTGACACTTCTGGGTTATTAATGCCGGGGAATGAACTGAGAGGCTGGCGGTGGGGAGCTGGAATTAGGGTCAGTGGGAGTGACGGGCCGAATTGCAGCGTGGCTGGCTGCAAAGGTTCAAAAAACACCCGGCCCCGAAAATCATGAGGTTGGCTTGAAAAGCAGGAGATTTAACATCATAAATCGGGGGGGTCTGTTGCTTTCTGGGTTTGTTTGGGGTTTTTTGAGCCTTCACAGGCCTCTGTTTTAAGTGTCTCTGCCCTGGGGCTAGAAACGTTCGTGTTCTCAAACAAGAGATGCGAGCCGAGGTCTGGCCGCCTTCCCATGAATCCGGGTGCTGGGGCTTTAAGGAAAAGAGCGGCTCGTGCGAGATTCCCCAGCAGGGAGTCCTGCTCCGGGCTGGAGGCTGTCACCCCATTTTATAGCCGGGGCAACAACCAGATCCAAAGCAGGATTCAGGGACAACCTGTTCCGCTGCCTGACCTCGCGGCCAGGGGTCCGAGCCCACCTTCCCCTCAGCCCCTTGGAGTTAGAGCTGCATCCCTGGGGCCTTCCAAGTAGTTCAGGCCACGGCTGGTGTTAAAGGAGGTTGGGGGATGGGAAACAGGAGGCCACCGGGAGAGGCGCTCGCTGGGTGTCATGTGGGTGCCAGACTCAAAGCTATTTAGGATCCTAACTCCCCTGGGATCTAGGTGGCAGGTGGGCAGAATACTGAATACTAAGGGACCTGGGCAGGGCCTGCGCAGGGGCTGGGGGGTGCTTGTCCTGCGCAGCTCCTGTTCCGCTCCATTTCCGTCCCCCCAGCAGCGCCCCGAGTTCACGGCCATTCTGCTCCGTTTGCCTTTGCTGTCGAGTCGGCATTAATCACAGGCCTGGCAGCTGGGCACCGCGGGAAGCCGGCCGGGCAGCAGCAGGAGAAGCCGGGGCAAGGGGAACGTGCTGATGTGCCCGCCCAGCAAGGAGCGCTCAGCCCGGATAACGGATGGCGTGTCGGGTAGCGCCTCTGCCTTTAACGGGGCCAAGGCAGGTCACCCGCTCGGACCCCCGGCCGCCCACGGGGCCCCTGCACTTTATAGGAGCTAATTCCCTGTCCAGTTTTACGGACAGGGAAACCAATCGGCTCAACCTCACATGGCAAATACCGCCCAGAGCTGGGCATAGGGCCCAGGGGTTCTCCCTCTCACTCTAACCCCTAGACCACACTCCCACCCGAAGGAAGGGAACAGAACCCAGGCGTCCTGGCTTCCAGCTCCTCTCTGCTCCAAAAAGCAAACGCTGGGAGAGGCTGGGAATAGAACCCAGGAGTCCTGACTCCCAGCCTCTCCTGCTCTAACCGCTGGACCCCAACGCCTCCCTATTTCCAGCCTCCCCAGCATCACGTCTTTGCCCAGTACCTGCCTCTCCCCGGCTGGCCCAGAGCGGAGCGTGGACGTGACTGTTTGAATGTGTAGCCCAGGCTTCCCGAAAACCAAACCGCCGGGCTTAACCCTTCCCACGCCACCCCCATCCTCACAGGGCCGGCAGCTCGCCTGGAATCACCCGGGCAAAGGGCCAGACCCACAGAGGCAAGCCAGCTCCCCGGGGGAAACTTTTGGCTAGCCCCTGGCGGCTGGGCGGCTC